CGAACCCATGGTGTCTTATTTCCTTTCAAATAAACTAGGTCATATCTTTATGGCTGATGATAGCTTAATCTGGACCATAAAGGGTTAAATACCAACTTAGGCTTGGCATCTAACTCAGAGGCAAAAGCTTCCAGGAGAAATGAGTTGGGTCAAATAAGCCCAAGAAGCTGACGTGGGTAGAATTTCTTCTGCTTGACCCACTAACAACTGCAAAGGGGACATTTTAGAAATGTGTTTTATTGAAATGCTTCAGTTGGGGCAGAGCCCCAGAACTTGGCTCTGAAGCCAGGCCTGGGGAGCATGGGAGGCTGACTGGGGGGAAAAACAGGGTGGCCCAGGTCAGGCAGAAGGTGGCAGCAGCTGCTGATCAGGGCAGTTCTGATTGTGTTTTCGCTCCCTCTTGCCCGCTATAATTAAAGCTTTCCCCTTATGATTCTGGTTTCCTGAAGGGAAACTAGAATTTATAAAAACAAACGAGAGGCTGGGTGCGGTGGCTCAAGCCTGTAATCCCAGCACTTTGGGAGGCCGAGGCGGGTGGATCACGAGGTCAAGAGATCGAGACCATCCTGGTCAACATGGTGAAACCCCGTCTCTACTAAAAATACAAAACATTAGCTGGGCATGGTGGCGTGTGCCTGTAATCCCAGCTACTGAGGAGGTTGAGGCAGGAGAATTGCCTGAACCCAGGGGGCGGAGGTTGCGGTGAGCCGAGATCGCGCCATTGCACTCCAGCCTGGGTAACAAGAGTGAAACTCCGTCTCAAAAACAAAAACAAACAAACAAAAAAAAAACGAGAAACAAACGCAAAACAACAGAGATGCCTGGTTGCAATATATGTATATTTTAAATTATAGAGCACTGCTGCTGGTCAGTTTCAAAGTACATATCTGTTATAGCCCTGGGAGCTGGTCAGGGGGAAGATCTAACAAAACAAACAAAAATAAAAGAACATTAAAAACCTAAATGTATGCACCTAAAATTAGATATGGTCATGTAGATTGTATCCTAACACAATCATCCTGTCCTTGTTACTCCTGACACAAGGGAAATACTGCTCTCAACATTTCCCTCCACCTTTTTTCCTACTTTACTCTCTTTTCATCCCACCTCTTGCTTCCTTCCCCTAACAGGCCACATAGAATCCGTGGGCCAGAATAAATCAGTTGTTTTATTTCCCCTCAGAGGATGTGACCTTCCACTCCCCAAATAGCTTTGACAGTTTTCTCATTTGCTAGCTGAGAAGGATATCAAGAGACATTGACCTTCTGGTTTTGCCTAAAGAGGAACACTCAGTAACTATTATGCTTCAGTCCTGATTTGCGTTGACTGTGCCCTTCCTCTCTCCTCCCCCACATCCTTACCTACCTTTTCACCTTCCTTCATGAACATTCTACTCACCCCGCAGCGCACTGCTACTCCCCACAGCCCTCCCTTGCCTGGTGTGCAGATGCTGGAAGGCTAGCAAAAGAGAGCAAGGGGCCTCCAGGAGTATTTGCTCCCTATTTAATCAGATTAGTCCCATCGCCTACCCCAAGGAGCCAGATTTTGGTGTTACTGAGCTATCTGTTGAGGGAAGAGAAATTGTCAGACATCACTTAAAGAGCCCAGTACCTTGGACGCCAGGGAACTGCCGAGAGAAATTAATCTTCCAGCTATTTAAGGCAATTTCTTTTCCATCATCCTTTGTCAAGAAGACTGTACTGGGAAATGAATCTGATGGGAGTCCCTGAACTGGTACGCTCCACTCAAAAGCATCTCTCCAATCCTACGCGGCATCCATCATCCCCACACAAGCAGAGACACACAACATTGCTGCAAAGCCAATTCCCCCCCCGCCCCAATAACCGGCAGCAAGAAATCACAAATGCGCAGGATGGATACCACCAGCCTATGGACTTGCAGTTTTTCCCTATCTCTGTTCTATTTTCTTCCCAGAAAAACCTACCACAAATCGAGTTCTGCCATTAAATGGCTCTTTTATCCAAGGCCCAGGAAGGTAGATCAACAGGGATATGCCAGAACAGAACATGCATTTTCTCTTCTAACATAAGAACTCTGCCAGTGCAGAATAGGTGTTTCAGTTAAACAGCTAGACCACTGCCAAAGCAAACTGATAAGACAGAAATAGGGCAAAGGGTTGCATTGTTTCAAGATCATCTCTTCTCTCCAGAATGAATTTTCTGTTCATGGACCAAAGCTGGGGTCTTGTGTTCTCTGGGGTCAGGTAAGGAAATTCTAATCATCAATTCTTTTATCCTTAAGCGATTTCCCAGGGAAAGGGTTTTCAAATTGTGTTCTTTGAGGTTCCAAGAAGTGCCATGGACTATGTATGCGTATGGGGCTAACAAAGGGGTGCTGTGGGGAGTGGCTGGATGGGGAAACTCAATGGTTGAGGCTCTGGACCTCTCAACTCAACTTCAACCTGATTTTTTTCAGGCATTGGGATTTCTCCTAAGAGTGCTTTTTTTCTTTTTTTTAAGGTTCTAATTGTTTAAAAGATCTGCAAACCACCATCCTGAGAGGAAGATGACTGTACCTGTGCTTCTCATGCAGGTAACCATTTGCCAACGGTCTACAAGGGAGATGTAGCCAGGCGCGGTGGCTCACGCCTGTAATCCTAGCACTTTGGGAGGCCGAGGTAGGTGGATCACCTGAGGTCAGGAGTTCAAGACCAGC